TAAGACCCCTGCAACCAGTATTCTACCATTCACTGGCTGCACCACAACCCATTGCTATCTGACTTCATTATATTCTTACACTTTAGTCTTAAACCTCTCTGTATGTTCCATTCACTGCCACAACCGATGGTTTTCTTAAGGCCTATTTACACGGCACGATTTGCCGCGCTCGACTTGACATATACGGCAAAATCAGCTCAAAATCGGGTCATGTAAATGGTCCTACGACAGACGTAAGCGACCTTGTCGTACCATTTTAAATTGTGGCTTAAAACCCTACGACATGCCGTAGGAAAATGACGTAAATATGATGATTTTGACCGACATTGGGACTGAAACTAGTTGATTCCAAAACAAAAATGGCGGATTTCCATGAAAACGTCTTTACCAGTAATTAAACACGAAGTGTAAAAATTCTGAATGATCCCATCAAATAACAAGGTAGACATGATTATTTACTGCACTTCTCAACTGTGTATGGTGGCATTTTACAAGAAACATTTGCTGTAATGACGAGTAAACTGCTTGCGTTTTTTCGTGCCGCGAGCGACAAGTTGTGCTCGTGTAAATGGTACCAAAATTTGCCGTATAACGTCAAGTTGCGCACGGCAAATCGTGCTGTGTAAATAGGCCTTTACTGTCTCAGTATTCACATAACCAATCAAACAGTGCTTATATTCATGGCCACAGGCTAATATACTTTGAATGAAAATAATTGTTCAATAGAAAAAATAACTATTAAGTTCAGTGTCAAAAAATAAGAACTCTCCTGTTCAAGTTGTCTTAACATGTACATAATTAAGCATGGCAGGTTTCATCCAAGTGCTATTTTCAWGTGTAATGCTTCCATACACAACACTAAACTGTGAGTATTATGTAAGCAATSAAATGATATTCAGAGAAAGCATGCATGTTCAGATCCAAAATGTTTCAGTTTTGATGAGCAGCACTCACTCATGAAACCCCTACTGCAGATAGTAATGTTTTGCTTAAGAATATCTGCTATTTTCATTAGCAAGAGTAATACATTAACACACCAGCAGATATGTTTATCAGAAAGACGGAGGGAGAAGAGGAAGGCAATCATAATCATCTCCATATGTTGTTAATCACCTTAAATGAATAGAAAAAATTCAAATTTAGGAAAATCATTAATTATAGATTAATTAATAGAGTGCAAACAATATAACCGTGAAACTTTAGTAATACTCAATAGCACAATTTCATGCAAATTCCATTGTTTTCTATTGTTTAA